ATGAAACAGGAGCACTTCCTGTTGTTCCATTAAGTTGCTGGCTGTTCTAACAACCTTATTGCTGTTTCCCAATAGAGCTGCTGAATGATGGAACTGTGGGCATTTTCCGTGGTAACCAAATGCGCTTGAAACAAGCTTGCATCCGGAAAGCAAAAATATCTGCATTATCGTTCAAAAAAGCATTCTGCCATCATAAGCTAGTAGAACTTGATGCTACAGGGATGAATGCAGACATTTCTATTGCGGATATTGTAAGCGGACTTGGTAGCAATAAGTGGATCCAGCAAAATCTTCAGTGCCTCGTACTGGACTCCTTAAGACTCTCCCTGACAAATCCCTATGAAAGGTGCTTCAGTCGATTGTCTGGTCTTCGTGCTTTGAGCATTACCAATGTTCACTTCCACAATGAGGACTTAGTGGAGATTGCTTCACTTCCAAGGCTGGAAAGTTTGGATATATCTAACACCTCTGTCACGGACATAACACCGCTTCTCACTTGCAAGGATCGGCTTAAGTCTCTCTCTATGCACTATTTGAAGTGTTTAACGATGACAACGCCCCAAGTCTTGGATGTCATAAGAGAACTAAAGTATTTGAACCACCTTGATATTTCGGATGATCAGCAATTTACATCTGACATACCAGTCTCTTTATTAAAGCAGAAAGACATCCTACCTCACCTACTGTCTTTGGACATTTCTGGCAGTAAATACATAACTGATGAAGCTGTAGAAGCATTTGTCAAACAGCGACCTGCAATGCAGTTTGTGGGACTACTTGCTACTGATGCTGGTTACTCTGAATTCCTTTCAGGAGAAGGAAACTTAAAGGTTTGAGTTAAAAAAAAAAAAAAAATTTACACCTTTGCACACAAAAGGAAGCATGATCTACAGTGTTGAACATAGGAAGGAGAGCAAGGAACTCTGAATCCTAATACTAGTGGGGCAAAGACTGAGTTCAGTAGTAGGAGGAGCAAAGATACGTTATTTCGCTCTTCTTTTTCCTACTTTTCTGTGACTAATCTTGTTCCCTTTAAAAAAAAAAAGGTCAAAACAGTTTGTGCGGTTAACAGTTGAGTTTTCTGAATATTGGAGGTGGGAAAAAATTAATTTAGTGAAGAAGACAAGAAGCTGTAGACCAGGGGTGGGCGCCAAGCGGGTTGATCCGGCCCGCGGAGGTCTTACCGTTCCCCCGCCCCCAGGCCAACTATGGCCTGGAGGCAAGGGAGCGTGCAAAGCTTCTTCCTGCCCTGCCAGGAGCACTCAGCGCTTTGAAGAGCACTCAGCACTTTGCAGGGTGGGAGGAGACATCACGCGCTGCCCCGCCCACAAGCCCTGATTGGCCATGGGGCAGGGAAGCTGCGTGAAGTTTCCTCCGCCCTCCCTCCGGCCTGTGAGGAGCATGTGGCACTTCAAAGTACTGTACGCTTGCACAGGGTGGGGATAGGGTGAAGGCCCTGATTGGCCTGGGGGTAGGGAGAGCATCCGAAGCCTCCTCCCGCCCTGCCAGGAGTGCGGAAGTGCCGTGTGCTCCTGGGGGGTGAGTGGTAGGGCGAGAGGAAGCTTTGCGCGCTCCCCCAACCCCTAAGCCCTGATTGGCCTGGGGGTGGAGGAGCGTGCAAAGGCTCTTCCTGCTCTTCCAGGGGCATGGGTGCTTAGTGGGAAGGGGGGAAATGGGCTCCCCCACCCACATTCTGACCCCGCCCCTTCAAGTTTAGGCCCCGCCCTTTCTGGGGTAGCCCAGGGCCACTTCAAAAATTGTGGCCCCCAGCCACAAATT